GATGATCGATCGCTCCAAAACGAACGGCATAATAATCCGACCAGGATAAAAAGCTTGCCGCGTGACGATTCGCCGAAGCCTTCATCGTCTACTGCTGTACATAGACTACATGCCACATATATCTATCTATCTCTTCTTATTATTGTTGTATTCCCGCCAACCCAGCGTCTGCTACGCTTGATTGACAACCACCCCCTCCTACTACATACATGCAGGAATCGGCAATACTTTCGCGAAGAGAGAAAGAAGTACGACAAAGCACGGGAAGGGTACCTACATACCTTCGGCGCAGTATGGAGGACCCGTACTGTCCTTCGGCAAGGTAGGCTTGATTCTCGCTGCGAAAACAAGGAAGATTCGGCAGAAGTTTTGGTGCAGGCCGGCGGCTGGTGTCGGGTCATGTGAAGCGTCGTGGGCTCACACACGAGGAGGGTGTGGACATCGCCGCAAATAATCACACACACACGGGAGATGCCCAAAACAAAAACCGCTCTATCTTACCTGGTGGTCGTCGCAATTAATTCCGGAAACGGATGCATCGAACAGACCGTGAAACCCCCAAACTTCCGTGAACAAAACAGGCAGAGAGGCAAAGAGCTATGAAGAAAAACGGGGGCGGGGGTGGGTGTTGTTCGACGTGAGGTGAGAGGTAACTCTTGCAAGTTTCTTATGAATAATCCGGCCCATGCGTCTGTTTGGTCTGTTGTTTGCGAGCATCCACGCGCAACGAAAACACTCAGAAATATTCCAGAAATAGCACAATAGGCGTCGACAAGAGCTTCGCTGTTTCCAAGCCAAACACTTCAGGATGTGACCATGTCACAACCTCTGGAAAAGGGACAAACAACGGGCACACTCTTAGAATATATCCCAGCGCACAACGTGGTACGTCAAGGAGCGTCGAGATAGTCAAAAAAGGCGAGGAAGCCCCTACGAGAATGTTTGGAAACGAAAAGTCTAACCCACTTTTCTCAGCTTTAGTTCGTCGTCTTGTGGTCCCCCGTCATTGCCACCGTCAAGCTTCAAGACACATATGTTAAACGTATATCCCCTCCGAACTGCAGGTGCAACACTGACGGCAAGGAATGAATGTAACCCCCCGCGGGTCAACACCTACGATATAGTTGGCAACACGGTTGCCGCGTAGATGTACATTCAATCTTCACTCACACGTCACCCACACGAAAGGTGAACGCCCCCGCACACCACTTGATCGGCCGAGGATCAATCTATTGAGCTTACACTTAAAAGTCCCCCGCACGTAGGGTACACATTTCCCCCCGCACACCAAAGGTCATGAATTGTTGGTGTAAAGGAAAACCTATCCCAAACGTGCAGTAAAACGAACCAATAGAGCGAAATCTGTTGCATCTTTCGCCAAGCCAGCAGCAGTGCCCTACGAAAATCGAAGCAACGGCACAAGATCTCCGCGCGCAACCATCTGTAGGTCTTTACTCTCACTGCACACCTCTCCACCCACACCAACACGCAAACACACCAAGACCGCGCCCTCTCTCGACCTCCATGCAGCGGTTCCGATATGTCTTCCGTGGGCGTCCTACTTTACCTAAGAGAGAAAAAGGATAAGGGTCTACAATCCTAAAAATGTCCTGTCATGGACGCCTACCGAGGAGCAACAACGTACTGGTAGTGGTGGTCGAAATGCATACACGCCTACGTTGAGGATCGACCCCTCGTGCGCTCTAATACAGGCGGTTTCCATTGTTCTGTGCCATCGCGAGGAAACGTGGTTCCGTGTTTTCCCAGGACGAGATCTACAAGGGAACCACGAGCATCACCATCGCTATAGGTGTACTTTGCCTTCTCTGGATCCTTGAGCCATTTCGTGTTGATTTGCCCTGGTGGTTGTAGACGGCCCGCCATAATGACGTAGGCGGTGGTGCGGCCGGTGGTGGCCTTGGCTTCCTGCGTGATGTTCAGGCCCTTGAACTGGTTCGCTTCCAATCTGTTTTGGAAAAGATTGGGCAACCCCCCTACTGAAATGATGCCCTCTTTCTTCGCTGACTTCACAATTGACCTGATTGTTTCCCTGCATCAAAAGGTTGCGACGCGAAGTTGAGGAGTATGAGGGTGAGAATAGTAATTCTTCGGTATCCCTTGTTTGTATTCAATTTAAAATGTGAACTTCACACTTCACATCTTCGGTTTCACTCTTGTTGTGTCCAAGTCTACAGGCAGACGTTCGCCTGTGACTTGCTTACTTGGTTGGGACACTTACTACACGGACGAGTCTAGCCTTTGTCGCGCATATGTTTCATGATTGCAGCACATCGACCGTAATGCCTAGCTAGGCTACAGTATGGGCTAACGTCACTCAACACGAGAAGGAGTATACTGTAGTCGCATGTGTCACGCTTCGTCAGTCAGAGACTACAATACTGCGAAAGCGGCAAGCCTCGTGTGGTCCACGTTGATTTTGGCCGCCGCACCATCGCCAACAGAGTAAGCCCGATTTGGAATAATTGCAGGAACTGCTTGTGTGCAGACGCGTGGTACACGGCAAGCGTGTCGTTGTGAGGACAGCCACGTGAGGGACAGGGGGGCAGCCGGAAACACACGGCTCTCGATAAAACTTTGAAATCCAACACGCCCGAATAGTCCCGAAGTCTAATTTTTTGATACGCGTGCGTGCGTGGTATCTTCATTCCGAGGCTACTCACAATGCGCTTACAGCAGCAAAATGGACATGGGACACATCCGCTCCACTTGCAGCTGGCCATCACGCTTACCGGAGGTTGTTGAGACGGTGAACGGCATTCACAGACAAACGTGTGAGGTAGTGAATCCGATCAATCCAGCCTGCGGCCGAGGACATGGGGGGTTTCAGATATACGGCGGTTGAACAAAGACCCCCGAACAACTGTGTTTGTGTTGAAACTTCGTCGGCGCACTGCAGTACACCAACAACACGCAATCGCCGCCCAAAGGATTAGAGAAGACATGTCAGACAAAGTTGTAATTACATCGTTGCTCCTCGGCCGAGGGGGTCCTGGAGGGTGTAAACAACGTCAACAGACCCTCCGGAACTCGCTGTGGCAAACCTGGCCATAGGCCGTGTGCGGGGTTACGAATCTCTCCCGACCTGGATAAATCCAAATCCAATCAGTCGAAGCTAGTCGGCCGAGGACATGGGGGGGTTCAGATATACGTCGGTTGAAGAAGAAAGACCTCCGAACAACTGTGTTTGTGTTGAAACTTCGTCGGCGAACTGCAGTTCAGGCGAACTGCAGTACACCAACAACACGCAATCGCCGCGCAAAGGATTAGAGAAAGCATGTCAGACACAGTTGTAATCATATCGTTACTCCTCGGCCGAGGGGGTCCTAGAGGGTGTAAACAACATAAATAGACCCTCCGGAACTCGCTGTGGCAAACCCGGCCATAGGCCGTGTGCGGGGTTACGAATCTCTCCCGACCTGGATAAATCCGAATCCAATCAGTCGAACCTAGTCGGCCGAGGACATGGGGTTCCAGATATATGTCGGTTGAAGAAAGACCGTCGAACAACTGTGTTTGTGTTGAAACTTTGTCGGCGAACTACAGTACACCAACAACACGCAAACGCCGCGCCAAGAATTATCTAGTCTAAACATGTCAGGCAAAGTTGTCATCACATCGTCGCTCCTCGACCGAGGAAGTCATAGAGGGTGTAAACAACGACAACAGACCCTCCGGAACTCGCTGTGGCAAACCCGGCCGTCAGGCGATCTTCGCGATGGGGTGTGTGTCCAGATACAGTTTAAATACATATCTCGAGCAACGTACACTTCTGGCCCTCCCTATGTCACACCTCACCGCCGCTATTCTATCGACCATAGAGCTATGGCGTCGTGCGAGTGTGTTTCGACATATTGTACGATCCGTTGCATAACCTTGATGATTATTTGTGGCCTATATCGCATCTCGGTGGATTTGTGATTTCCTGCCTCAGGGTTGCCGAATTTGTGTTTCATTGGTGGCCTTGATTAAACAGAATACGTTGAAGACGATTAAATAGCATCGAGCTTGATCAATGAGGCATTTTCTCGAAGAGCACTCACCCGAGGGGGGGGTGTATACGGGCTCCGGGATTACGTTTGTTTGTGAAATATTTCAAAACATACTACAAGTTTCCCAGTTGGCGCCGCCACGTGTTGAGACGCTTGATACTACCGGTTACAACCGATCTCGGTCAATCGGCCGAGGACATCGTTTCCTGATTTATATTTGGCTCGAAAATGGACATGTACGACGACTGTTTCCAAATTTCTGGCGCCGATCTGCAGTACACAAAAAAACGTACTTCGTCACGCCCTGAAAAAGGAATTTGTCACGCGACAGGTTCCGACATACCGATATGTAGCGCTCCTTTGCCAAGTTATTCCTAGAAAAAGAGACAAATATTTGATCGGGGGTACTAGTTGTCGTATAACGGGCCATCGCAAAAGTCCATCGTCCCTGTGGGGTGCGTGTGCTCAGATGTAGGGGGATTCTCGGACGAACACGTATCTCGCAACTGAACCCTTAATACCCCTGGGCTGTCTTTCTCGCAGGCCGGACCATCGCGCTCGTTCAAGGCATGTTGTACATGTGTTGATTTTCGGAGCCCGCACAATCCTGTAGAACCCGACGACCTTGGTGTTTGTGCATCTCGAGGAACCTTCCCCTGAGTGTGGCACTTGCCACCTCTGTGAGTGAGATTGTCCGTGCGTATTTGCTGTTGAAAATGCGCTTAACAAACCTCCCTTTCACACCCGACGCTGCACCACGACCTCGGTGCTTTCAGTGTGTTCAGGAAGTTTCAGGATGTACAAAAATGCAGGTTCAAGGCCAGGTTGAACAAAACCGTGGATACTGCGGTGGAGATAGCGTGTCAAACTGCGGCCAACGAGTTCGGAAGGCCTGTCGACGACTTCACAACATTGGCTCGCCAGAGGCTCGTGTCTCACAACGGTGGTCGAACAATAGGCGAAGGAGACCCGGAATCTCCGGACAAGCCCATGCACGCCATCAGGGAAACCTGGGCGAAAATTAATCAGCCCCACGTCGTAGCGGCCGAGGCCGGGTATAATGCGCGACGGACCATCCTCGGTGCGATCGCCGGCGAGAAGGTGAAGTACAAGACCGCCAAGGAATTCCTAGGAGGTACTCTGAGCCGGAAATCCTTCAACGAGGCAAAGGAACGGAGATTGACGGCTCTCGAAGACGGCGACGTGTCGGCATTGTAAGTACGTCAAGTACGTCAAGTACGTCAAGTACGTCAAGCTTGTGTGACAGCCAGGGTACTGTTTGTTTTCGTCAGTCCGTGGCGGTGGATCTGCCGCAGCCGACAGGGAATCGAGCAGGACACATCGGTTGTGCGGCCTCGTCGTGCCTCTACCGTCTGTCGACGCTAGGTTATGAAATAGCATGACAGCGACCCAAGGTAGCTGGTCGGCCGAGGACCTGAATACGCTGCAAAACACTCACTTGTTCGGCTGGGGGTAGCAGTTGCGAACCATTCACGCATGCCACGTTTCTGTACCTTATCCATGCAGGGCAGGGAAGAGAAAAATGAGGTCCGATAACTTGCAGGAGAAGTACCCAATGGCATGCTGTCGGGTGGAGCAGAGTATTCTCGAGCGCACCCAGCCTTCTCCAAACCTTACGAAGACGAATCACGACTACCGGCAGCGTGGGGATCACATTCGGTCTGACGCGGACAACTCTTTGGTCTGCGTCCACCCGGAGAAGTGTGAAACTCACGGAGTGCACTACATGACTGGGACCCGGCAGCACCTGTATCACCAGTGCATGGATGACCTACAAGCGGCTGTGAGTGTCATACTCGCTATGCACGTACAGCAAAAGTAGTTGTCTGTGTAATCGGTTGGTATGTGCCGTTTGGTTGACATACGATACCAGTATATGATGAAGAGAACTTCAGGAGTCTCCATTGGCGTCACCTCTCAGTCTGCACGTATCCGGCTACATGAGGCCTTCACCAGTCGACAACAGCCCAGAAGTAACTGACGCCCCACCGTGTCCGTCCTGCATACGTTCGGCGCCGCGCGTATCGCAGTTTAGTGCCGGGAGAGCTGAAATTGCCTCTATTTCCCGAAGTTCTTTCGACAAGATGGTCCCCTTCTACGTGGTGGAGCAATCAATACGATCCTGCCTCTGCGTCCATTGCTACAAGGCAAAACTTATCACTGTTGCCCTGTACCAGCTATGGCCAACCCTTCACCATGGCGATAACTCGGGTTCAGGCTGCACGTGCAACTGCGGGTTTTGCTCGGATGGAGCATGTCGGACCTTCCTGCCGTTCGCCACGGAAAAGTCGGTGCACGGCATGGGGGACCTCAGCGACCTGCTCCTGTGCGAAAAGGTCTTCATCTACAGAGGTCAAGATGGCAAAGACGTCAGGGCACATAGGTCGATCTGTGTGTCAGGACATTGCCCAACATGCCAGCGCAAGCAAGCGGCATTCTTCGGTTGTCCCCGTCATCAGGGCACTACCGATCGACGTTTTCCTGCTTCTACCGCCACCTTGGGCGCGTGCCCTAGCGCCATGGAAGGCCAGTTAGGAAGGGTGAAGTGGTCCATGTTTACCTCTGTGGATGCTGAAGGACGCGCAACGGACGCCCGCCGCCTCGCTGGACCGCAGCCACCCGACGACGATGATGGCGACTGGGAACCAAGAGTGGCGTCAGATACATCTAGGCCGAAAAAGGTGAATGCGAGGTTACCGAAACGATCGCAGTGATGTGCTGGGGTCGGTCAATGTTTGCATATTATAGAGCCCGCTGGTCTCGAAAAACATGACCGGCTATTCCCACTCGTTTACTTTCCTCAGTTTCCTGACTTTCGGCAAGTAGGTGTGGCAAGTACATAGCTACGGCCGCGGGTGTAGGCTCCTCGACCGATCAGCGGCCACCACGTGAAACACGTGAAAATGAGATGCTACCCATGCCTTAAAGCTGTCTCCTAAGAACTCGATACGTAATGATCTACATAGCTTTGGGCACGTAGGCCCTCGCCCACGACAAAGATTGCCACCGGCGCGCTACACCTCGTTGTTGTGACTTTCCTAAGATCGACAAGCAGTACGGCGTGGTAGTTGCGGAAATAGCTGGCATCGAGCCATCGATCGATTCGTGAAGGGATTACTCTGTACTGGACGCAGCGTTGTACGCAATACTGTTTCTCAGCGTTCGGGTGTTTGATAGTATACGCACATCATAATATCCCTTAATCGTGGTTTAGTGCCTCTCGGCTCTGTAGATTGCATTGCTTATGCTTGAACCAACAAGCTGGAGCTTGAAAACTCTCAGATAGACTATGGACTACAATTGAATAAGCTCGTCCAACTGTCCCCTACCTCCTCGCTGATGACCCACCTCAAGCTAGTCGATAGAGCAGCTGGTAGCGAGAACTTGCGTGCTTGTCGTGGTCCTGAAGGGTTGTCCCTGATCATCGGAAACAGACAAGAGTGGCGTGTACCCATGTAATCTCGGGGTGAATACGAACAGCACCACGTCGATGTCTATCATTTGGCCATATCCCGTCCCAGGCTGTTGCTACCAAGACGGGGACTGTCGACGATTTCACCAAAGAATTTAAGGACATATTCCGGCGATACATTCCTCACCGGAGGCAGTATCACACCCAACGGAGCGCGTTCAACGAAACCCTACGCACCCTGGAGGAAGGTACTGTGGTTTTCGTCTTCGACTTCCAGGAGCAGCTTCAGCTCATCGAGCAGGACGAAGTACAAGCCCAGCACTGGCAGCACGAAAGTGTAACGATATTCCCCTGTCCCATCTACTTCAAGTGGAAGGGCCGTGTGTGGTCCTACTCTTTCCAAGTTCTCAGAGACGATAGAACCCAGGACAATGCGTGGGTGAAGCATGTCATGTTCAAGATTCTGACGGAGCATGTCCCAGCGTTGATGCGGAAACTAGGCGCTCCCGCCATGGTGCTAGCGATCTTCTTCACCGATAACTGCGCCAAGCAGTTCAAGTGCAGGTTTCATTTCGGCTGGCTTGCTTCCCGCGCGGTGATGGTTTGTGACACCAACGGCGAGTCTACCAACGTACCAGTGCACATTGAGCATCACTACTTTGGTAGCTGCCACGGAAAAAGCTCTTCTGATAGCGAAGGGGCCAACACCAAAGGCGTACCGAGGCAAAACATCATCAACCAGTCCTGGGTAGTCCAGAGCCCCAGACACCTCTGTACCCTCCTCGGTGAATCGATGGACTTCATGCTTTTGGAGCCGACCGAAGACGAAGCGATGACCTTTGAGACTGCCAGGACAAGCAGCAGAGGTGGAGATCAGTTGCTCATGACCAAGGCGAGCATACGACGGTCCTGACATGGAGGGTGGTGTAGGGTGTGGATCTTTATTTTCATTTTTTCTGCGTTATGAAAATAATAGATAGTGGTGATTGCCTACGACCTAACCGTCCAGATGAAATTGCAAATATGACGGCATACGTACTTTGAGCTGTAGCCGACAATGCAGTTAGGCAGAATCAGGGACGGATGAAACCTCGGACGGAGCTGGCGATCTATATCCAACCAAAACACTATCGCCTTTCCACGTGGCCACACCGAAAAACATTGGCATGGGGACACCTGCGTGTCAAACTGACCCGACCACCTTCATATCGCCTGATGATTCTACCGTTAGGTGTGGGGAGGCGAAAGCAGATCCGACGAGAGAAAGACACTTCTGATCACGAAGAAGCCGAATACGCTCCTAGGCAGAAAGTACATTTTCCAAGCCGCAGGGGACATTTCGGGAGCAGTTCGTTCAGCTTGTCGCTCCGAAGCGAAGGCGATCAAGGTTCAAGGATGCCAAGCCATCAGCAAAACCGTCGCCACCGAAACGCCAGGCGTCCTGGCTACCTACACCTTGTCCTGCAGGTAAGTTCACGGTCATTATCTTTGCCAACACACTCTCACTGAAAATATACCCGGTATGTCGGTCGAATAGCACCCGACCTGCGTTACATCCAAGTGTTTGGTGAACAGCATTTTGTAACTTGGCATTTTTTTTTTGGTATTTACGCTGATCGGTCGAACAGCCACGACCCACTTTCCTGCAGGTTGTGCTGATAAGTTGCGGGAGAGAAACAAGGTCGCCTCTCTTTCGTCCAGTACAACTACCATTCAGAATCCCGTAGAGATGTTTGGGTTAGCCTGGTGTTCCTGCGATCACTTACTACATCCAACTCCAAGTATTTAGGTGTTTCGTGAGTAACATTTTGGGGCTTGGCATTTCGTTTTTTGGTATTTACGCTGATCGGTCGAACAGCCATGACCCACTTCCCTGCATTTTGTGCTGGTCAGTTGCGGGAGGGAAACAAGGTCGTCTCTCTTTCGTCCAGTACAACTATCATTCCATATTCTGTAGAGATGTTCGGAGCTCCTCGGTCGAATAGCGAGTTAGCCTGGTGTTCCTGCGATCACTATACATTGTTTGGTGAATAATAACTTGTGACTTGGCACTTTCTTTTTTTGCCTTTGGTATTTACGCTCTTCGGTCGAACAGCCGCCACCAAAATTCCTTCATGTTGTGCTGGTAAGTTGCGCGACGAAAACAACGCCGACTCTCTTTCGTCCAGTACAACTATCCCCCAACATTCTATACATGTATTTGAAGCTCCTCGGTCGAAGAGCAGAGAGTTAGCTTGGTGTTCCTGCGTTCACTTACATCCCAAATGTTTGGAACAGATTGGCACTTTGGCTTCAAATTGGCATTTTGGGTTTGGTATTTACGCTGATCGGTCAAAACAATATATACCAATTCCTTGGATGATGTTCGGCTGGTAAGCTTCACCGACGGAACCAGGGTAACTACCACTTTTGTGCAATACTCACCATCACTCAGTATGCATATTGTCTGTGTATTTTTAGCTGGTCGGTCGAAATGTAGCGAGCTACAATAGTGTGGTGTTCCTGCGGTCACTCGGCATCGTATTTGGTATCTGATCGGTCGAGTAGCCGCGTCAGAATCGTCCATTCCAGAGGTAATTGTTGTCCCTGGTTCGATTGTTGACCCCTGCATTGATTTCCCACAGTTGTGAGCTCTGCAGAGATGGAAAAACGGAGAAGTGTAATTTGTTCCGCGAAGGCATCATGGAGGCACCTGCAGAGTGGTCCCGGCGACGAAGCCACGACGACGAGGATACCCCAAAGGAGAGGGAGATGGAACTCATGTTCACTCGAATGAGGAGCGCACTACCATATGGATCAGTCGCTATGATGCGTGTTCATCCAGAAGAGTACCAAGGCCAGGATGTAGTCCCGATTTTCATCGGGCGCAAGGCTCCATCCGACTACACTAGTAGCTTCGCGACGGATGGCATGTTTTCCGAAGGCGATGTTATGGTGTGGATTCACGACGTTTTTAGTCACGTACGCGGCGTAGAGTATGACGTGCCCAAAGTTCCGCCAGTCGACGAAAATAGAGCGGTTCCGCTCACCTCTCTTGCAGGGCTATAGGCCAGGGAATAGGGGGGTACATGGAGAGGTTGCGGGGAGACGGAACTAGTGCGACAAGGAGATATCGAATTCGTCCAGGTGTTATAGAGAATGCTCGCTCCAATCTGGTCATCATGTCAGAGCGTCCACAAGATGCTTTCGTGGACTTCCTGACGGAAATAATGAAAGGTTCTGACGAGAGGCGGGCCCACGTCAGGGAAAACCTTTTCCAACCGGGTTCAAAGCTCCACCGCAGGGGAGGAACACAGCGTGGAGAGGTTTGAAAGCGATTGAGGCAGCGGTTGTGGACGTGATAACGTCCCCCGAAGAACGACGCCATCGCTATAGGCTACAGTGGAGAGGAGAGTCACGAGTTCTTGCGTAGGCGGCCGTTCCGCGTGATGTCGATGAGGGTTACCTCGAGCGTTGCGAACGTTTGTCGTCCTTGTCGAGTTGATGATGGTCAAGATATCAACCGAGTATCGCCTGTCTGCTGGGGGGCACGACGGTAGCAGGTATAGCGCTAGCGTTAGGCGCAACTCCTCAGGCAAGGCCTGGTTGCGAAAGAGCATCTAGTGGTCCCCCCGGGGAAAAGTGTGCTACTCGTTCTTGTGGCCAAGAGATCTCCTCGATCAATCAGGAGGGGGGCCGTCTTTGATCATTTTCCTAAGAAAGCTCTTGCTGTAGACTGTGGCGGACGTCCTGGCGCCCACGTGTTACGTTTTGGGGCATCAGCTGGATGGATGGCAGTAAGTCCCTATGGCTGTGCTGTCCGTCACCTCAGTAGATACGAGACTGCGCTGTGGGGAAGTGACGCATAGAAATATCCATCGGAACTTTGAACATATGGACATACATGTGGGGCTATGTGGCTTGAAGTTGTGCGAGTTGTTCTGCATGCATCTGTTCTGTGTCCCAGATACTTTGACGCGGTGTTGACCAGGATCGATCTTGGACGAGGAGTATCCTCGATCGACTACACATCCAAGTGATTACGGGATGAACGTTCCCAGCGTCGTTCCAGCATGTCCTGGAACATTGATTGAGGGCTGTAATGTATTCAGTGGCGTCCCGTCGCTAGGGCTTCGACGACGGTGTGCCCTCCAGTTGGTTTGGTTTTTCTAATTTGGCGACACCCTAGACAAATAGCCTCCACGGTAGAATGTAACGATGGCACCAAGAGCAAGGAGGTTGACTGGACTCGTAAAAATACAATCGGTCATCATGTTCTTTCCCGAATCATCTTGCTTTAACAAGCTCAGCAGTGCGGCTTGAAGGCTCCTATATGGACGGACCACTCGGTGATTATACCACTCGTTCGACCGTCTAGATTTTTTGGTGAGGGTACTACGTTTCGCGTCGACCAGCCCCTTGCATATCGCCGGCCCCGTGCATGTCGGGCAGAACATGTTTGAAACAAGTATGCCTACTGGCGTATGACATAGGCATGGAAACGGTAGTGAAATATAGTCCCCAAAAAGTGACACCCCTACCGTAGCATGACTCAAAATAAATGCGAAATGACACCGACTGACGGACGTTTCAGAGTCCGCTCGCACGTGAAATTCCCTTTTCCGTGAGAAAGACTCAACGCGTAGCCAATGCAAAGTTGCCGCACGGAGGGTTTGTTGTGCCTGTGATGTGTCGACGGTGCGCCCGGTACCTCCACACGCCACCATCTTCTCATCCATATCGTTGTATGGAGGAACGAAAACGAATGTGACCCTTGTGATTGATTGCTGCTGGTTTTGTTTGCTGACGTCGCTGGGCTCTACTCAAAACACACGTCATCAGGTATCATGTCCGGTGTGGGTTTGTCCTGCCGTGTCTGCACATATTTCATCTCGCATCACCCGTTTTTTGACACAGCTGTGCTCCGATGAGCCCTCTCCGCAGGGATCACTTGTTTCCACGGATCCGTGCATCACAATCCTTATTATTGCGTGTCTAATTTCCCGAAGCTTGGTTGCCGCTGAAAGGTGGGGCTTGGGATCTAGACTTGGTCATATTTATTCCGTTCTGAATCGCAGCGTGCATGCCGAGAAGCTACACACAAACCCGGGAAGTCGTCTTGCATCTCATCAAACATTGAAACACTGGGCATGCTTGATGTGCTGTCGATCGAATTTTTTCAGTCATTATTGCTTTGGCAGGACTGGGTCAGGATCCAAGCGCGGGAGTCTCAGACGCCAATTCTGTGGCTCTACCTTACTTAGCACCTAAAAGAACGTAGGCGGTAGCGTGCACCCTGTATGTCCGCGCGGACCAATCTGACTATCGATCCTTTATAAATAGAGTACATAGTCTACGTGGACAAATACTCGCCGCACAGCCCGCACAAATGACGAAACGAGAGAGAGAGAGAGAGAGAGAGAGAGAGAGAGAGAGAGAGAGAGAGAGAGAGAGAGAGAGAGAGACCGGGAGTTTCCCAACATCCGAGCACCGTTCGAATAATCCTCGCAACTCAAAGGCCTGAGTTCACCTCCGTGGCCTCCGCTGTTTGTCGCTCGTCTCTCTCTCTCGAGATCGGGTCTTGGCGTGTGGTATGCATAGCTCAGATCGTCGGTCGAACGGTCGGCATAATCAATCGTGTACAGCGCAACGGCACGAGCGACAGGTGGACAGGTATACAGGCGATACGTTCACAGCAATGGACGGTCTTCAGATTCGCCCTTGGGGGGGTGACAGTGACCAAGCGCGGGTGTTAGGCCGACAGACCTGGGGCAGACGCTTCCTAGGAGAGGCGTAACTGCTGTAACGCTTGCCTCCTCGTCGAACGGGTTCACCACAGAAGCCTCGCCACCTTTTGGGGACAGACCATGTGCAGCAAAAAAGCGCGCTGCGGGAGAAAAAAACGACCTTTACGCAATAGCCATTAATCGAAAAGACAAACGGCAATAATGGCAAAAAAATCACAAGACCACCCGAAATCGGGCATTTCTGCGCCCGGTGGGGACACGATTCCGCCACAAACCGACTTCTTTCGACTCCCGTGTCGCGTCTCTAGTCGGCCGTTCAACCAGACCAGCGGTTGTTTCCCCCCTCAGACTCCGTCCGTGCCCATACCATTGATCGCATTCAGACCCGTGCATGCTTCGAAGGTCACTAGTCTACCCCACGTTGCCGTGCAATATGCCTTGTTGATACACTTGAGAAACACACGCAGACCACACACGTATCCACCCCCTTCCCATCAGCAGATCTGTCCCTGGACAAACGTGCGGAGAGAGACAGAGAGAGATAGAGGAAAGACTCCCCTCCCGCACCAGGAAATGTTCGGCAGGCGAGGTCCGGCCAAACACTTTCTCAATCGTCGTTTTCCCTGCCGCCCTTGCGCCCGCCCCCTCGTCCCCCCCGTCCGCCGCCGGCCCTGGCCTTCTTTAAGCGCTCCTCCTCCTTTCCCTGGGTGCGGTACTTGCGCTTCCTCTCTTCTTTCCTCACCCCGTCGAAGGCTTCGGAAACCTTGGCTTGCTTCTGCATGTTCGCCTAAAGAGACAGTTCGTTGTATTTTGGGGGCCGGAGAGGGGGAGCGGTGGGGGCGTACTCATTTGTTGCTTGCCGTAGTCATTTGACCATTGACCACGCGTCCCTTTCGAGACGGAGCACCGTTCCTACACCTACTAGAGACACCACCAACATTTGGGAGCTCTTTACGTTTCTGCCACAAACTCCATAAAAATTTCTTGCACATCTTATCCCCGTCCTCTAGGGCCTCTTGTGCCCACCATCTATCCCCAATTATCGCGATCGTTTTTTCGCTGTTGTCTAATTTACCAAACTTGTCCATGTCACACCCTCTCTGTCTCATTTCCTCCTCGAGATCCTCTCTTTCCTTCCTGTACAACTCACACTCCCCAACTATGTGGGGTCTACTCTCCTCCGATTTGCCACATGGACATGTGTGTCTATCCTCCTCTTCCTCTCTCCTACGGCTGGTATACCTCTTCCTCCGTTCTGGCAAGTCCAGATCGCCTACTCGAAATTGCAATTTCAGCTTTTTCGCATAGTCCATGGGGCCGTCCAAGTACTTCTTCATCCCTATCCCTTCTTTCAACTTCCCGTATATCTCCAAGTGGTCTTCGCTTCGTACCTTCTTGAGAAGGGTTGTCTCCTCCCTA